CAGAGCCCCCGCCGGGGCTCACCGCCCTCCCTCCCCCCCCCGCAGGGGGGGGCGGCCGGCGGCTTTTTTGCCTGGGGCGGCAAAAAAGCCAGAGCCGGCCCTGACAGCCTCCCTCACTTGCCATGGGCACCAGCCCCCCATTCTTGCCCATGGCAGCTGTGCGGGTCTCCGGTCTCCCTGTGTGAAAGGGACTGTGCAGGGCTTGGGCTACAACCAAGATGGTTGTGCCACAGGCAGCTGCGTTGTGCGGCTGTGATTGGAAACAGGCTGAGGGCTACATCGCATGTGGATGGCTGCCTAAAAACAGCCAAACAGTGTGAAAATCCTCACAGCATCCAATGCTTGGGGTCAGCCCCATAATCTGGGGCGTGATGCTGCCATGAACACTTTAAGGATGAGAACACCTGGCAGGTGCTAAGTTTTGATGCATGAACAATATAACTACAGTAGTAGTTTGTTTGTTTTTAGAAGAGTAATGAAATCTCTATTATAAAGCAGCAGTGGGTTGGACTTGTTTCTAGAAGTTAACTTTTTCTTATTTTTCTGACCTGACCTGCCAAGTTCCAGGGACCCAGCTCTGGGTGAACTAGTGAAAGATTGTTTTATATTACAGAATTTAAAGCCCAGGTGGCCATCTTGAGTTAAATATCAATTTACTGCTGTACAATTAAGGCGTGCTCGCCTTGCAAGAGGCCCCGCTGGCTCAGATGGGCCCGTGACAAAAAGCCAATGGAGCATCTCACCACAGAGCACCTGTAAATGCACCTGCCACAATGCTAGTGTATGCAGACCAACTCCTCCACCCTTTTCTCATGTACCCAGGGCCAGCTCCAGGCACCAGCGCAGGAAGCAGGTGCTTGGGGTGGCCAATGGAAAGGGGCGGCACGTCTGGGTCTTCGGCGGGAATTCGGCAGTGGGTCCCTCAGTCCCTCTTGGAGGGAAGGACTGGCTGCCAAATTGCTGCCGAAGAATGAAGCGGCGCGGTACAGCAGCCGCCGTAGTGCCGCCGATCGCGGCTTTTTTTTTGTTTTTTCCTCTTCGCAGCTTGGGGCGGCAAAAAAGCTGGAGCCGGCCCTGCATGTACCTCCCTCCCCCATCAAATTGTCTGGTTTTATAATGCATTCTTTAAAAAATCATAGGTTGTCAGAATTCTAGCAAGCTGATTTCTTGGGGAAATCTGTAGTAAAAGTCAGGGTAACCAGTATCACAGTAATACTTAACTAAGCTGTCTCAACAATGCATTGCACTGCCGTTAAAGTAAAAAGACATTTTAAAGTGCATTTAAACTCTGAGTGATTATGTAAAATGGTAGTTTCTTAATAACAGCTCTGCTCCCAATGTGGGTCTTCCAAGGCAAAGATAAGTTAATAAAATAAACAAGATTTTATTGCTTTGACTCATGTTGGCTTTAAATTCAGATGCTTAATTGCAGAAAGAGATAACAATAGCTGGTGGTTCACAAAGTTAGTAATATTTCACGTAATCGAAATAAGTATATTGCAGTCCTAACCAATTACGGCCATGTACACTTGTGTTGCAGAGCCCAGGGCTTGGGAAATTGCAGTTAAAGCCATTTGTGACAACCCCATTGACATTTGAATTTAAAGAAGATTATGATCTACCCAGTGCTAGAACAATAAATATTTCCAGGTCTAAACCTGCACTGCAGTTTTCAGAAGATGAACAGCTCTTCCGACATCAGCAAATAAGGTGACCCCAAACTAGAATGTTTGGTGTTAATTTTAGTTTGACTTAGAGATGCTATAAATATCATTAAAGTACCATAACTCTTTGACTTTTACATCAGTTCACTCTCAGCACAATTAAATGGGAGTTGTTAAAACTATCTTGTTTGCATGATTTACCCAAATCTACAGCCATTTTAAATAGCAATTATTAGTGTCAAAGGTATTATTGTTAGGAAGAGCCTTGCAATAAGGGGATCCTGTGCTGTTTCCTAAAGTGAAATGATTCCTCACCATAAAACAGGAAGCTGCGTAAACAGTAACTCACATGACTGAAGGATAATTTCTAGCATATCCCAAAAGAAAAAGCTGGAAAAGGACAGGCAGTTAGTTTGCCAGCTGAGCAGGGGTGAAAGTAAGCCGGTACGGGCCGGTACGGTGTACTGGTAAAAAGTGGCCGCTGGTACCAGCCCGTACTCAGCCAATGTTAAAGTGCTGCCGGAGCAGCACTTTAAGCAGGGTAATTAAAACGCTGCTGTGGCAGTGCTTTAATGTCATTGCCCCTTTTGCCCCTCCTACCCCAGGCTGCCGATGGGGGGGGGGGAGCAAAAGGAGCAGCTGCCCCGGGGCCGGCGATTTAAAAGGGCCCGGAGCTCCTACTACAGCGGCAGCGGCCAGAGCCCCGGCCCTTTAAATCACTGCTGGAGCCCCGGGCAGCACGGGCCAGGCAACGCAGATGGGCTGGCTGGGGGACACTGACCCCCAGCCCCGCTCCTTCCGCCTGAGTCCCGACCCCTTCCAGGGGCCGACGCTGGCCCCTGTACTGGTAAGTGTTAAATGTTACTTTTACCCCTGCACCTGAGGATGCAATCTTCCTGTGATCCACAAAGTGATTACATACCAGGGTTTGATGTGCTATGCAAAGTGTGTGTCCATGAGCAATTGGAAGTCAAATCCTAGTGAGGAAAATAGAAAGGAGCATAAATTCTGGCAAATCAAGTGTAAAAGTATATGGCAGGCCAAGAAGGAATTTGAAGATCAGCTAGCTACGGACACAGACTAACAGCAAACATTTTTTTAAGGGCATCAAAAGCAGGAAGATTGCCAAATGGTCAGTGGGGCTACTGGATGATCAAGCTGCTAAAGGAACACTCAAGGAATACAAGGCCATTGCAGAGAAGCTAAATGAATTCTTTGCATTAGTCTTCACTACAAAGGATATGGAAGAGATTCCCCCATTTGAGCCATTCTTTTTAGATGACAAATTTGAGGAACTGTCCCAGATTAAGGTGTCAGTAGAGGAGGCTTTGGAACAAAATGTTAAATTTACCAGTAATAAGTCACCAGGACCAGATGGTATTGTTCTGAAGGAACTCAAATATGAAATTGCAGAACTACTAACTGTGGTATGTAATCCATCACTTAAATCAACTGCTGAACCAGATAACTGGACAGTAGCTAATGTAACACCTATTTTTAAAAAGGGTCCATGGGTGATCCTGGTAATTACAGGCTTTGGTAAGCCTAACTTCAGCACCAAGCAAAGTGGTTGAAACTATAGTAAAGAATAGAATTATCAGACACACAAATAAAAATGATATGTTTGGGAAGAATCAACACAGCTTTTTGTAAGGGGAAATCATGCCTCACCAATCTATTAGAATTCTTTGTGGGGGTCAACAAGCATGTAGATAAGGGTGATCCAGTTGGTATAGTGTACTTGGACTTTCAGAAACCCTTTGACAAGGTCCCTCACCAAAGGCTCTTAAGCAAATTCAGTAGTCATGAGGTAAGAGGGAAGGCCCTCTCGTGGATCATGAATGGGTTAAAAGATATGAAGAAAGTAAGTTTTCACATGATGGAGAGGTAAATACTGGAACCTATGCCATTCAATATGATAAATATTCATAAATGATCTTGAAAAAGGGTGAACAGTGAGGTGGCAAAATTTGCAGACAATACAAAATTACTCATCGTTTAGTCCAAAGCTGACTGCAAAGAGTTACAAACTCTCACTAAACTGGGTGATTGGGTGACAAAATGGTAGATGAAATTCAATATTGATAAATGCAAAGTACTGTAATGCAAATTGAAAACATAATCTCAATTATACATACAAAGTGATGGGGTCTAAATTAGCTGTTAACACTCAAGAAAGATCTTGGAGTCGTCATGGATAGTTCTCCGAAAACATCTCCTCAATGTGCAATGGCAGTCCAAAAAAAAAAAACCTAACAAAGTTAGTAACAATTAATAAAGGGATAGATAATAAAACAGAAAATATAATGCCGCTATATAAAATGCATGGTACACCCACACCTTGAATACTCTGCATGCATTTCTTGCTGCCTCATCTCAAAAAAAAGTGCAGAGAAGGGCAACAAAAATGATTAGGAGTATGGAATGGATTCCATACAAGGAGTGATTAAAAAGACTAGGACTGTACAGGTTAGCAAAGAGATGAATAAGAGAGGTTATAATAGAGGTCTATAAAATCATCAGTGGTGTAGAGAAAGTGACTAGAGAAGTGTTTTTTATCTCTTTGCATAACAAAAGTACTAGGGGATGAAATTACTAGGCAGCAGGTTTTAAAACAAACAAAAAGAAGTACTTCACACAACCTGTGGAACTCATTGCCAGGGGATCTTGTGAAGGCCAAAAGTATAACTGGGTTCAAAAAAGAATTAGAGAAATGAATGGAAGATAGGGCCATCAATGGCTATTAGCCAAGATGGTCTGGGACGCAACCCCATGTTTGGATGTCCCTAAATCTCCGACTGCCAGAAGCTGGAACTAGACAAGTGAAGGACCACTTGAAATTGCTCTGTTCTGTTCATTCCCTCTGAAGCATCTCGCACTGACCACTGTCAGAGACAGGATACTGGGCTAGATGGACCATTGATCTGACCCAGTATAGCCATTCATACATTCTTATGTACCTATTCCCTGCTACTTGGCAGAGAGGGATAGCGCAAAATCAGTACTTTGAACACTCTCAAGTTTGGAGGCATTGTACCTCTGAACACTGCTCCTGCCACAGAAATATAACATTAAATAAAATAATTTGACTTTCATTCCAGTTCTAAGCGCCATTCACAAAGATTCATTTAATGGAAATTCTCTTCCAGATTCAAGACTTATGGGGCAGCTGCTGCAGTTTGTATAGTGCCTGTTACAATAGGGAGCTCGAAAATAGCAAGACTGTGTTAGACTGCCAGCCACTCCACGGAAGCAATTTCAAAAGTACTAGGGCCTATACTGGGAACCTTCTGTTCCCATTAAATTCAGTCATAGTTCAAGTGCTCAGCATCTTTCAGGATTAACCCTCTTAGTAAATACACAAAACACTAAATGATAGGGCCCAACCTAACATTTTGGGCCTAGAGCTGCCACTCATAAGTGCTAAATTTTGTTATTAACGTTATTTCTCATCACTTCGTGGGGGTGGGGGATACAACCCTTATTTTGCAATATTAGCCAAAGTATTGCTGTATAATTCTGTTACCTTTTCCAACCTGTTTAACTTTTTTTAGTCAGATGTTGATTGTGCATGTCTATAAAATGTACAGCCTTGATCTTAGTCCTAGCAGGCTTACATCTGTGACCCCAAGACTGATGGCTAGAAAGAGTCACTCTGGCAAACCAACTGCAAGGCCATTTAGTGCTCCAGATACCTTGCAAGCTAAAGCATGTCATCAGAAAGGTACATCTTTACGTAACACAGGGTTACTGCTGATTCTGACATACACCTTCTTCAACTTGTTTAGCAATTTTGTAAAACACTGTATGCAAAGGATTGATATTTGATTTCACATTTCAAAAAGCATGACTTTAGCACTATTGCATCCTGTCTACACTAAACTATGTCTTCACTGCCAAAAGGCATGTTTTTACATCGAGAGAGTTAGTTAACTTGATGGAAAAAATGCATTTTTCCAGAAAAAGAAATATGGTTGCAAGAAACAATTTGTTTGGATGCGTTGAGCTTACGGGCCCTTGCATCTACACACAGGGCCGGCTCCAGGTTTTCTGCCACCCCAAGTGGCAAGAAAAAAAAAAAGCCGCGGCAGTGTGATCGCGCCGCTCCACTCTTCGGAGGCAATTTGGCGGCAGGTCCTTCGCTCCAAGAGGGACTGAGGGACCCGTCGCCGAATTGCTGCTGAAGACCAGGACGTGCCGCCCCAATAGCAGCCGGAGTGCCGCCCCTTGGTATTGGCCACCCCAAGCACCTGCTTCTTTAGCTGGTGCCTGGAGCCGGCCCTGTCTACATGTAACAGCCATCTAAGATATAAGTGATGACTGTACATGTGGGAGAAGGTCTTTAGCTCAAATATGGTTGAACCAGTACATTGTGAAAAGGAAACCACAAATGTTGCAGCTGCACTGGTTCAAGTAGTTCTCCTAACTCAGGGGTTCTCAAACTAGGGGTAAGGACCCCTCAGGGGGTCGTGGGTTATTACATGGGGGGGTTGCAAGCTGTCAGCCTCCACCCCAAACCCCGCTTTGCATCCAGCATTTATAATTGTTTTAAATATATTTAAAAGTGTTTTTACTTTATAAGGGGGATCACACTCTGAGGCTTGCTATTTGGAAGGGGTCACCAGTACAAAAGTTTGAGAACCACTGTCCTAATCCAACAATTCAGTTCCCTGTGTTAGGAAAAGAGCAAAAAGCCCTTGCTTCTGGAGACAGTACTGAGCATTATAAGATATGTGTTGCGGAATCTCAGAATGTGCTGGTACAACCACAGATGAAAGGAGTGCTGTATGTGAATGAGTCAGAACGGTTCTGTTTAAAAAATAGTGTTTCAGGGTAAATCTGCTACATCATTGCAAGGGAGCAAAACATTACATGCAATCACTGTCCCTTCAGCAGTTTCCTTGCTTGATGTGGCTGCTTATTTTAATGATTAATTCACCTTTAATGTAATCTATTAATTTAAAATACTGCACTATAATAATCTCTTCAAATTATTCCTAAATTCATAGAGAATCTGCACACGTTAAAAGAAGATTTTATTTCATTAAAACTAAACCAAAAAGTAAAACCTGCTAGTCTTAGACCAAAAGTTCACAGAAGACCAAAGTGGAACACAGAGGTAAATTCCACTCTCATCTTAATCCCAAAATACTAACTAATACTCTCCATTGCTGTCTTAACTCTAGCCAGATTTACACATGCTTTAAAAACGATACTAATTTCTTCTTGGGATGGTTTACATCATCTTTTGGGGTATGGAAGGAGGTGTCTGTTTGAGGGAAAATTCCTCTTCTGGTTGTAATCTAGATATCCATGAAAATCACTCACCATAGTGAGGGGCAAATTAGAGATGCTAGTTAGTTAGTTCTTTTTTTTTCTGCAAGAAATCAGATCACAATTTTTTTCTAGTGAAACATAATTTTTTCAAATTTTTTCATGGCTGTGTCCCCTTTTGCAAAAATTAAAACATTTTATTTTGTATAATTTAACATAACAAACTTGAGGGTATTTAGAATAAATGCTAAAACAAGAATGCTACAAGGTGAGGCAATCTTGCAGAAAGTTCTGAACTTGATGTACATACAATATAAACGTCAACTGTAAACTCAGGGAAGTGATCAGTGCTGAAAAATGTTTTGCTGGAATGGAGCCTGAAAAAATGAGTGAACATGTGACTATGGGGCGACTTGGTAGAGGCATTCCTGGAATAGATGCTTCTCTTGCATGAACGCCACATTAATATAACACAAGCTGCACACAGTAAAGGTAAATATCTTAAGGTGGACCAGACTGCCAAAAAATATGCCAATGGAAGAAACTAAAAGTGAAAAAATCAGCCTTCTGCCTACTGAGCACTAAAACAAAATATTTCTTGTAATAAACAATTAGCTTTTATTATTAATCATATTTATTACGGCAGTGCCGAAGGGCCAACCAAGAATAGGGCTGTCTTGTGCTTGATGCTTAGTAGAAGGTCCTTCCCGAGGGGCTTAGAATCTAAATAGACAAGACGGACAGAGTGGGGGAAAGGGGCAAAACACACAAGCAGGATATGAACAATGCGATGGCAATAATTGTCATATTAATTTCAGAGTTTTGGGGGGGTTGGGTTTAGTTAGGAGGGGATGAGCTAAATGGAAAGAAAAGGCAAGGGAAGGGGGTGAGGGACAGGGCAGGGGAGAAGAAGGTAAAAGGGGCAGGCGTGGAGCTTTGTTTTTGTTGTTCAACATAATTATAACCCTTTGTGGCTAAATACATTCTGATTGGCATAGCTAGATTTTTTTCCTTCCCCTCTGAGCTATAACAACTAGTGCCTGCTTTCAGAACGCTGATACACCCAAGGATTTTCCTTCAGGGTAAAGGCCAGATTCCAATTTCAGATGTGCATCAGCATGTAGTTAAAGAATACGTAACATTTTGCCAATAGCTACAACATAGTGATATCTAAGCTGCCACACCTTATCCCTATACTTAAAAGAGGAAATATCAGTTGTAATCCTATGGGTATCTACTGGCAAATACTGACTTTTTAACAGCTATTTTTATACTAGGCACACAAGCAATATTGTGGATTTTTTTTCTTTTTCATTTAGGTAGGCAGTGTTTGCTCACATATCTGAGCCTAGCACCTGTCTCTAAATATGAAATCTACAAAATCTGTATAAGCGATCCATATTTGTGGATACTTACTTTAATTGGGCAGTCAGAGTCTGTCATGAGCTTAGTATAAATGGTTATGCAATGATCTGGTATAACAGTTCCTGTTTCTTATTTATAATTCAAGTGACTGGGCTCTTTCATTTTACACAAATGCTACACTTTCTAATCTTTTTGTTTTATTCCGTCTATGATTTTTTGCTTTAAATGCATGATCGTTTGAAGTTTCTGACATACTATTTGCCATGAAGATAATTTAAAAGTTTTCATGTTAGGGTTATATTTTTAATGGTGGCTCATTACAAATATGATATGATGTTAACATGTACACATACTTCCTCATATCCAGGTTGAAAATGTTCTGAAGTTGGATGTCCTCTGTCAGCAAGATAGCCAAGCCCATTTACCATCTACTCTTGACCATATGGACACTTCTCATTGGTGCCCTCCTAAAAGTGCCAATAGTCAGAATGACGAGTCATTTCTAACAGCTTTAATTGGTAAGAATCAGTGAAATCCTTTTGTCTCTACTGTTGAGGAAAATACCTAGAGATTTACCAGTAGCATTGCATTGCCTTAGATTCAAATTAGAAGAAAAGTTTTACTTGGAGAAATTAGCAGCGACAATTGGGTAAAAGGACACATCCTGCTTAAATGAGCTATTAAATGTGCATAATTCTAACTTGTTCAACTTACATTTTTCTTTAATTATTTATTTTATTTTTATGACATCAGTTTAAGAAAAAAACAGAAACGTGAGTAACTGTAGGAATGTGCAATGTTCCCTAAGATGGGAAATTCTATGTGACCTGCCACACTTCTGCTACCGTCTTGAATTCCTTGTTCTGAAGAAGAAATCCTTATGGCTGAATGTATTATTGCTGCAGCACCATATTGTCAAAGATGAAGACAACATAAGACACCCTCTCTGCAAAGCTGTAGGCCAGGATCGGTCAGTTTAGACCACTGATGGGATTTGCTGAAGCTCTCCCATGTGCTTTATAATACCTAACGCCTATACTATTTTCCAACAGCAGCCTATGAGAAATAACTTTTATCTCCCTTATTTGCACATATACATATCACATACAAAACTCACTGTCTTTTCAGGGGACAAGATAGCGCAATACAGTATTTATGGGGAAGCTGGCAAATTCGTTGCTCAACAGCTAGAGAGAGACAATAAAATCAGAGTCTGTGTAAATGGCCATTTGCCATTAGATGGTCTGAAAGAAAGGTAATTACTGACAGACTGTAAATAATACTGCAAATCTAAGTTGAATTACTTTCTGAATGACCTACTGTGTGGCATCCCAATAGTCAGTGACTGGCCTTACTACCTGGTTAGATCTCACAAGACAAGTAAAGTCAGGCCTGGGCAGTAGTTGGAGTGGAGAACTTCAAAGAGTGCCTAGGATGACAAAGCAGGAAGTGGTACTAGCAATTCAGTGGGTAGCTCTCAATACTGAACCAATGCCCCTGGATGATGCTAAGAAGCCCTGTGCTGCTTAAAGTGCCATTTTTATTGTAAAGCTTAAAAGACAAGTCATGCTGGTCATCAAAGATCCCCTTGGCACTTTTGCAAGGACAAAGACATTAACCTAGGAATCCTGGTCAAATTCTAACTCAAGTAATTGCCGTCTGCCTACTTACGTTGCCCCTGCAGTTTCACGTGGTTATGGTATTCTTCACCTCTCCTAAGCTGTTGCCTAGTGTTGCTATGCACTGTTGAGCCATTGTTATACCCCATTCAGACCCGACTGCATGTAAGTGTTGAGCTGATTTTGCTCTGTGTACCAGAGAGGTGGTCAGCCTTTGCTGATTAAAGGGGAAGGCAGAGAAGGAATTAGATCAGGTGAGTCACCTCAGCTGCCCGTGTTTAAAGTGAGTTGTCTGACAGACCATTCTCAATGTATCTGAGATGGAGATTGTTAGCATGAGGGCTCTGCATCTCATGGCTTGAATCAGCATGGGGACAAATGGTCATGCCAGACCCTGCTGGACCTTAGAGGTAATGTCTGAGCCTGTTGCAGGACATACAACGTCCCTGAGCCATGGACGGGGTCGATGGACCCCATTAAGCTGTGCCCCCAGGAGAACTCAGTGGCAGCCCATGATAGGACAATTGTGCAACACAGGTCGCCAATACGAGCAGGTTGAATCAGGAAAGGACATATGTGTATAAGATAGTTCTGTGTTAACAAACCTGTACTCACAAAGGGCTAGGTTTTCAAAAGAGCTCAGCACCTACATTCAGTATCACAATGGGCGCTGCTGGGTACTGAGCTCTTTTGAAACTCTGCCTGTGCGTTTCCACAAAGCCTAATTCTTTCTCCTTTTTCCAGCCTGATATTTGGCAATTCTCATGATGAGCAAAACCTTCAGGAAAAGCTGTCTGCACTGGAGCTGGAGGTATAATTTTCAGCTCAGGTGGATGTAGGTGCGCCAGCTTTGATAACGCAGTGCACTAAAAACAGCAGTGTAGCCATAGAGGTGCAGATGGGTGGACAGACTAAGTACCAAGGGTCTGGGACAGGATTATACTCAGGGCAGCTAGCCCATCCACTGTGGCTACACTGCTATTTTTAGCATGCTAGTTCAATCAAAACTAGTATGCGCACGTCCACCCGAGGTGGGAATTACACTTCCAGCATGAAGTGTTGTCATATCCTAAGCTGAATGCCCATACCTGCTTTTAAAACATTGTTGTCTGAACATGTTTCAAGTAACAAGCAGCTATCTGCATCATCACTTGTTTAACTATGGCCTTCTTTATTTTAAGAAATGAAGCTCCTCTGAAAGAAGGTGTTTTTAATCTTGAAGAAACAGAAAGGAAGAATAATTTTCACCTGTCTAAATCTGCTTCAGAAGAAAAGAAAAACCTCATCTCCTTAACTATTGAGGAGGAAATGGAAAAACCAAATGCCAAAATAATCAATGTGGGCTCTCCAAAAGCAAAATCTCCCAGGCCGGTGATGGTAATGTCCTGTTTACCGTCCCTGTTGTGTTTGGTAAAGTTTACAACGGGTCTCGTATGCTAGTGCATGCTGCTATTAAAAGATTATTCTATTCTGAAATAAGACCAGACTTCTGAACACTTGAGATTCCTACAATAATAGCTTGCTATTTCATTATCCGTATTTGGAATAGTATGCATACAGAGTAACTTTTAGCAGGAGTGGAATCCTGCCCCCAGTGAAGTCAATGGGGATTTTGCCAGGATTCCGCCCTAGATCAGTGGTTCTCAACCAGGGATACATGTACCCCCGGGGATATGTAGAGGTCTTCCAGAGGGTACATCAACTCATCTAGATATTTGCCTAGTTTTACAGCAGGTTACGTAAAAAGCACTAGCGAAGTCAGTACAAACTAAAATGTCATACAACAACTTGTTTATAATGTTCTATATACTATTCGCTGAAATGTAAGTACAATATTTACATTCCAGTTTATTTATTTTATAATTATATGGTAAAAATGAGAAAGTAAGCCATTTTCTGTAATAGTGTGCTGAGACACTTGTATTTCTATGTTTGATTTTGTAAGCAAGTAGTTTTTAAGTGAGGTGAAACTTGGGGTACAGAAGACAAATCAGACTCCAGAAAGGGGTACAATATTCTGGAAAGGTTGAGAGTCACTGCCCTACATCATATGTCTAACACCTTAGCTTCTGGCCAGTGTCCTAGGCTCTCAGTTGAAGGCTGTCTGGAGAGAAGGGACTGAGTGCAATTTTTAGCCCCTGAAGAATAGGGTAAATTAGGACTCTTGGAAGGAGCCAACCTGATCCCATTTCCAGCACACTTGACATGATCTGCTGCCAGTTCCTGCTCAGTTTGCAAACCAGCAGGGTGAGGGAAGAGACCTCTATTGGGATCTGGCGACAGGGAGGAACTGGCTTAGAGCTAGCAACAGAGCGAGAAAGTAGTGCAGGCTGCAGATGGTTGGGGGGGGGGGGTAGCAGCACATTCTGGCACCCAACAATGGGTGAGAGGCCTTTTTGATAAAGGAAAGGGAGTAGGGCACCTGCTTAGCATGCAGATGGGAAAGGAGATGAGGAATTGGTGATGAATACCGATGTGGTACTAGTCCCTCAGTAAAGAGGAGTAAGGACAAATACACACATTCACAATGCTTTAAGGCTTAAGATTTCATGATTAATTTTAAGGCCTAGTAAAATGCAATTTGTGCTTTATGTTGGCAATTGAACCCCGTGGTCTGACCAGACTTCTTTAGGATTGACGTTTGAGCTAATGTGCATCAAACATGTCCTGAATGAACTCTAGCCATGGAGCCTGAATTCACTTGCTGTAGTATTTTCTGTTTCTGGAGTTATTGGCTATTTTTTTCAGACCTATGTAAAGATTTCAAAAAACTCTGGAGGTCTTCCACTGGGACCTCTATGTATCTCTTTTTTGTTTTTTCTACAGTTTTCTGTATTGTACATGGATACTCACGCTCTACTTTGGCTAGAAACAAGTGTCAAAAATGTACGATAAATACAGTTTATGTGGATATCAGCACCATGTGACTGTTAGTGTGATATCTTGCTATATTATCTGATCTGATCCTATATATTTCTGCATCTTCAATATATTCTTGGCCTTCTTTATGCAAATATCTCAGAAACTATATCAGTAAGAAAGGAGCAAACTAAAGTTCCATTGTTTTTTCCTACAGAAAGTGAGTGAAACATACCCCATCATTTATGCTGAAGAAGAATATATGCAAAACTTTATTTTGAAGAGGTGGCTGCATTTACATGGAGATAAAGTGTCTTATGACTCAGAAAAGGAAAATGGTGAGGTACAAACAAATCCAAATTCAGTTTTACAAAACAACTGCGATTATGCCCTTGCCTTAGTTGGAAAGGAAGAAAAGAATACTTTTAATGTAGCTGTGAAGGGGAATAAAAAGCTAAAAAGAACATTATCCGGGAAACGGAAAATCACTATTCATATTTTATCTTCAGATGGAAAAAGTAGGAGCTTAAAAGATTCACAGAAGGAAAAAACTTTTGTGCAGAAAATAGTTGGTAGCTTTCATGATGTTGAAGTACCAATCAGTAAGCTTACATCAAAAGACAGGAATGTTTCAGCAACAGGGGCTGAATGTAACCCTGATGGCCTTGTTATATTTGGAGTAAACCCAAAAGCTGCAGCACACCAATCTGCCAAAGCAAATGCAGCAACCGTCACTAAATCTCACGGCTCTTACAGCAAGCCACTAACCATGGCCTCCCAGCTTCAAAAAAAAGGCAGGTTGGCTCATTCATCACAGTTGGATTATATATCCATAACAAAACCTATTAAAATACCTGACTGTCCAAATGTCAATTCAGAGTCATTTCACAAAATCTCAATGAAACGTGATCATTTGGAAAACAAAAGGATTATTCTGTCTGGGGCTTGTTTTAAGGAAAAACCTCCACTTAGTCAGAACAATGAAGTATCCAAACCTGCCAGGTGTTCTCAACCAGATTCTTGCAAGGAAGAAACATCAGCTGAGAAAAAGCTAAATAATAAGGAACATTGCATAGATAGTAGGAAAGGCCAAGAATGGGATAATACTGTGGAATTCTGGAGCACTCGCAGATCTTCAGCATCACTGAAAAATTCACATGCAGTGCCAGACAACAGCCCTGAGCCCCAGAAAAAAGCAATGCTACCTGAACGTCCAGCATCATTACCTGTTAACTTCAATCATCCAATTATTAGTATACCAACCGCACAATGTGATGCCTCGGAATTCAGGATAAAAAAAGTTGATGCTGAATTTACAGACGACACTGATACTCCAAAGGACACCAGTCGTTACAATTAACTGATGGTATGTCTAACAATGGGCTACCAAAGATATATGGGATCGTTCCATTTCTGAAATGAATGCATCTGCCAATCTAGATGTTATGGTAATTTTTTCTCAGAACAGCTATTATTCTGTACATGAACTTATGTAAGCCATGAGATGTTTGCCATTAAATGAATTATGATATAGCAATTATAAGGGGATGTGTGTCTCTTAAAAATTACGATAATTGATAGGCCTTTATTCAATGGTTTTACTAGGCACATATAAGAAGCATTAAACTCCTATTTCAAGCACAGAAGTTACTTCTTTTAAATCCTGAATGACTTTGTGTGTGAACATTTTAATGCATTAAGATATTATCTTTACTTTTAAATAGAGAGAGAAAAGGTATTTAGAGTATTATCCACCTTTCTTCCTTAATTTATTGCATAGATTTAAAAAATCTTACAACATCCAGTACTGTGAATTTCACATTGCTTATCATCTATGTTGTATATTTCAAGATTCTAGCCCAAGTCCTCCCTTGCAATGTTAACAAAATTGTATTTAGTGGAATTAGGCTTTTAATATTTAGCAATATTGGATTAGGCTGGAGTTCTCCATAAAATACATTGTAGACAACATGCGTAGACTAATGACTACTTTGATTCACTTATTCTCAGCTAATATTAGGCACTTAAAAAAAAGAAGAAGAAAAGGCTTTCAGCGGGATAGATTGTCTCCATATGGGAAGTGTTTGGAACTGAAATGAATGCAGGAGATTTTCATCATGCTACTTAGAAGATATCTTACCAGACGAAACTAAATTTACACATTGTACTCAGACCTGATAGTTTGAACTTCTGAATAGACATGCAATTTCACTCCTATAACTCTTTCAGTAAGCAACATGTAAGAACCCCACACTTCCAATCATTACGTGCCTAAATGGTGATGCAAGTCCATGGGCCCTTGGCTTTATCTCCTTACATTGCTAGAGTACATGCAACATACCTGAGCACCTCATTTGGTTTCTGAACTGAGCTGATGTGTTTGTACATGTAAACACTGTATTTGTAATGCTTTGCCTATAAATGAAATTACTGAGGAACAGATTTGATGTTGGGGTCATTTTGTCTTTTTTTTTTAATTTCCTTAATTAAGTTCACACAGCTCCACCCACATGCTTGTTGCCGAGCTATGCAACCTTTCTTGTAAAGTGTCAAAGTAGCAAAGTTCATGTTCTCTTTGACCTTGCTGCATCAAAGAGAGCCAACTATTTAGACTCCAAAATATATCTTTGTCTGCCCAACATCCCTGTTGCCTTTGTATGTATTTTTGAAAACTATGGATTTATTTTTGTAAATGTGGCTGGATCACCATTGAATGCCCAAACGGAGACACCCCTCCACTCATGCTGGTAGCTGAAGGCTCTTTTAGATTTAAAATTGTTCAATATATTCTAAATCCAACACCATGCAAATCCTTCCTCTTGCCCTGTACAATCCTTCCATCCACCAGCATGTTATATTTCATCCCCAGCTCTCACTACAACCCCAGCACCTCTGCAGGCTTCTGGTGGCTGGTGAGAGGAAGGCAGCTGGAAGACTGGAGTTAACCATCTGGTGAGTATCTCTGGGGCACTTCTGTCTTATTGTTATTGATTAACTTTGGGGAGTGAAAGAGGAGCATTTCCGGTGCTGGGAACTTGCTATTGAATTTGATAGGACTGGGCTCGTTGCTGTGTTTTGAAATTTAGACTTGGTTGCCTTGCAGTTAGATGAGTTATCACCTGCTTCTAGCAGGCCTCTTTGAAGTGAGAGAAGAGCAGTTTTGATTGGATAGGCCAGTGATTAGAGGCAGATTCCAACTGTTTGTAGGGCCGGGGTTGGTAAGGCAAAGGCAGCTGGGATACTAAGGGAATTAGCCAGCTGAGGAAGGCAGGGATATAAATTGTGTGTTGTTTTCCTTAATTTGCAGGTACTCTACAATGGGACGAAAATGGTGTGTTGCCAACATCACTGCCAGCTCTTCCTCTGCCTGCACCTGTGGGGTCCTCTACCAGAGAGGCATCCTGACCCTGGAGGCTTCCATCCAGACCCTGGTCTCGACTTGCTAGGAATGTGGCCTGCATGTCCCTGCTGATTAAAGCCAGGCAGGGGGAACCACTCGGTGTGAGAGGTGTCTGTTGGTGGAATCCCTCAGGGAGCAGGTAAGAGCTGCAGGAGGAGATGGCTCACCGGCATTTAATCTAGGAGCACAAGGACTTCATTGACAGGACAGGCTGCACATGGAAACATTTGGGATGGAGGATGCTAGCTGAATACAGATGACTACAGTGGCACCAGCGTAGGAAGGAGAATGGCTGCTTGCTGGGGAGGAGACTAGCTGCTGGCCACCTCGGGCAATAGATAGTGCTCCACTCTCCACCCAGATCCCCCCATGCATTGAGATGAAGAACTATTATGTTGTACTGGCAACAGGAGATGAGGAACAGACCCCAGTGGCTGAGGAGGAGGAGTCATTCGCCCCAAAAGCTGGGAGGCTCATGGCCATTGCACCCAACAGGAGGAGATGTAGGATGCTGATGGTCAGGGACTCCCTTCTGAGGGGGATGGAGGAATCCATCTGCTGACCTGACATAGTGTCCTGGGAGGTGTGCTGCCTGCCTGGAGCCTGCATCTGAAATGTTACACAAAGTTTATCAAGGTTCATCCATCCCTCTGACCACTCCCCCATGCTGCTCATCCAGGTATGACCCTGAGCAGATCAGCAGTGACTCCAGGGTCAGGAGTGGAGGTTCTGATCTTAGCCATCCTCCCAGTTTAGGATGTGCATGGCCCTGCCTGGTCCTTTACCCTCGAGATGAACGCATGGCTGCACAGATGATATCAATGTGTGGGCTTTGGCTTCCTTGACCACAGGCTGCTGTTCCAGGAAGAAGGTCTGTTGGGAGAGATGGGGTCCACCTGACTACAGAGGAAAAGAGCATCTTTGTGCACCAGCTTGCCAACCTAGTGAGCAGGGCTTTAAACTAGGTTCAAAGGGGGCAGGTGAGTATAAAAAGAAGTGACCTTAACAGAGAGCTAGATATTGAGGGGGATGTGGAAAATTACAATGGGGTCATAGGAGCAAAAAGAGGGAAATCAGTGGGGGAATCTGTTTAACATCTTCGATGTTTATACACAAATGCAAGGAATATGGGGAATAAACAGGAAGAACTGGAAGCATTAGCCCATCAGTCTTCTTGATGTCATTAGTTATTAGCTCTCTTTCCCTGCTAGGTAGCGGAACTACACTTTCCATTGTCTTTCTGGTGCTCCTAATGTATTTAAAGAACCTCTTATTATTATTTTTTATGTCCCTTGCTAGGTGTAACTCATTTAGTGCATTAGCCTGTTTGGTTTTGCCCCTACATTTTTGTGTTGTTCTGTACTCCTCATTAGCAAGTTGTCCATGTTTCTACTTTTTATAGGATTCCTTTTTGATTTCCAGGTCATTAAAGAGCTCCTGATGGAGCCATATTGGCCTCTTACTATCCTCCCTATTTATCCTTCACTTCGGAATAGTTTGCAGTTGTGCCTTTAATATTGTCTCCTTGAGAAACTGCCAGCTGTCCTGCACACCTTTTTCCCCCATGAGATTGTCTTCTATTTTGCTTCAGTCTTCATTAAAAAGGTGAACGATGACCAGATGCTTAACACAATTGATACTAACAATTAGGGGGAAAGAATGCAAGGCAAAATAGAGAAAGAAGAGGTGAAAGAATATTTAGATAAATGTGATGTATTCAAGAAAGCAGGGCCTGATTAACTTCAAACTATGATGCTCTGAAGCAATCTCAGAACCATTAGTGATTATATTCGAGAACTCACAGAGGACGGGTGAGGTCCCAGAGGACTGCAGAAGGGCAAATATAGTACTTTTCATTAAAAAGAGGAATAAAGAGGACCATTGGAATTATAGACCAGTCAGACTAACTTTGATACATAGAAAGATACTGGAACAAATTATTAAACAATCAAATTATAAATACCTACAGGATATAGCATTATAAGAAATAGCCAGAAAAGATTTGTCAAGAACAAATCATGCCAAACCAACCCAATTTCCTTCTTTGTCAGGGTTACTGGCCTAGTGGATAGGGAGAAGTAGATGTGATATATCTCAATTTGAATAAGGCTCTTGACACAGTCCATCATGACATTCTTATAAGTAGGGAAATACGGACTAGATGAATTTACTATAAGGTTAGTGCACAACTGCTGAAAGACACTACTCAAAGGCCTGGTCCACACTAACCCCCCACTTCGGACTAAGGTACGCAAATTCAGCTACGTTAATAACGTACCTGAATTCGAAGTACCTTAGTCCGAACTTACCGCGGGTCCAGACGCGGTAGGCAGGCTCCGCCGTCGATGCTGCGTACTCCTCTCGCCGAGCTGGAGTACCGGCGTCGATGGCGAGCACTTCCAGTATTGATCCGGGATCGATTTATCGTGTCTAGACAAGACGCAATAAATCGATCCCAGAAGATCAATTGCCTGCCGCCAAACCAGGAAGTAAGTGTAGACCTACCCAAAGAGTACTTATCAGTTGTTTGCTGTCAAACTGGAGGGCTCATCTAGTGGAGTCCCACAGGCATCAGTCCTGGGTCTGGTACTATTCAAAATGATTAATGACTTGGATAGTAGTGGAGGAGAGAATATGGCTATAAAATTTGCAGATGACACCAAGCTGGGAGGGGTTGCATGCATTGTGTTGGACATGATTAGAATTTAAAATGATCTTGACAAATTGGAGAATTGGTCTGCATTCAACAAGATGAAATTCAGTAAACATAAGTGTGATGTTTCACTCCATATTTGTTATGAAAATATGCTTATAATATGAATGACATAACTGAGATATACTTTATGCAAGATGGCTCATGTAAGATATCATTGGAAAGGTTATGATTTACTGAATGTGGTTATCCAATTTGTATGCATGTATAATTTCTGTATCTGAAGTTAGGAATATTAATTATGTATCTAGGGTGACCAGACCACAGGGATGACTCATTTAGTGCATTAGCCTGTTTGGTTTTGCCCCTACATTTTTGTGTTGTTCTGTACTCCTCATTAGCAAGTTGTCCATGTTTCTACTTTTTATAGGATTCCTTTTTGATTTTCCAGGTCATTAAAGAGCTCCTGATGGAGCCATATTGGCCTCTTACTATCCTCCCTATTTATCCTTCA